CTGGGATTGGGCCCCGGCAAGTTGAGGGAAATGACGTGTCTGGACAAAGGCCGGGCAATGGTGGGTCATTACTACCCATACTGCCCGCAGCTTGATCGGACGGTGGGGCATGCATCTCATTCTGATCAGGGAGTGCTGAGTGCTGACCGTGCTCCTTCAGGATCAAACGGGGTGGGTTCCAGGTTAAGTTATGGTGAGGGTTGGTTGGATGTGAAGCCAGTACCTGGTGGTCTTGCTAGGGACTTGCTATTAACGTTGGCGACGTACTTCAGGTAAATTTTGTTTTTACCAAACTACCCTATAAGGTTGCAACGGTGACATGAAAGTTATATGCTTTTACCTAAACTATTATATTAATGTTCTTCAAAATATAGTTTTCCGTGCTTGGAGCTCAACTCGTTTTTTGAGCAATTAGGAGTTCGCCTCGTTTTGCATGCGTGAAGCATCCCTCATCTTGTGTGCTTGAGTTTGCCTCGCTCTGCACGTGAGGTGTCTGCATTGTTTTACTTGCCAGAAGTCCGCATCTTTTTGCATCCATGGAGCCCACATCGTTTTGGTGTGCATGAAGCCAACCTTATTTCCGTGCACAGCAATCGCTATGATTGTGCAAGGTATCCTTTCTCTTTTTTTGTGCGTGGAGCTTGCCTTGCTTTGCATGCCAGAAGCGCGCCCCTTTTTTTGTGAGCAAAGGCCGTCTTATTTTGCGTGGGTCAAGTTGCCTAACACCATTTTTTTTTGTACCAAAATGCAAAAAAACAGCATACAGCAAGGGCATGTATCTGAGACGGTCATGATTGTGATAGAGTGATTTGATTAGGGGAGTGAAGGCTATAGAACCCTTGTTGCGCATTGTCGCTCATTGAATTCATTTGCCTCTATGGTTAAGTGGCTTAACCCTAACTATGTTGTGGACATCCTCTGATGGAGTGCCTCTTTTTACTGATGATAGTGTTGTCTCGAGCCTTGACCATCTTGGAGGGACAAAAAAATATATATCATTTCGTTCACTTATATTATGACATGTAGAGTTCCATTTGAATACCCAACATTTGAAAAAATCTCTCGAGTATTGGAGTTGTCTAGAATATGTGTGTATCTTCTCGTCACAAAATCGAAATTGAATAATTGAATAATTCTTTGGTTAATTTTTCAGATTATGTCCAACGGTGAGTACAAAGCTACTCTTCATCGGGTGTTGGCAAACCCATACCGCGAACCTTGGGTGTCAGTTGCAGTGTTTTTCAGTCCAGGCACTCGAGAGGACACATATGGCCCATTGCCGGAGCTAGGTCTCGGCGGTGAAACCGGCACTTTACCGTCAGTTTACTCTTGCAGAGTTCATGCAAAGGTAAAATAAAGGAACTAATGACAAATCTTTTATAAATCACTTTGAGCTGTACAAACATCAATGACTAAAGCTTACAAATGAAAACAATGTGGGTTCTAATCGAATCCAAACGATTTATGACCTACACAGATTTCAAACCAAACTTGATATTCTCTTATCCAGATTACCTTGGTGTTTCCAGGTTTCCTCCATCCCCAAACCACTCTGACATGTCTTCATCGTCGGTTGAATCAGAAAGCTCCAATCTTTTTGGAATTTTGACAAACCTAGATTCGTTATTGTTTGACTTATGCTCCACAAGTCCCTTTTTTTGCAGATTCTGAGACAGTTCCGTCTTACCTCCTGTGACGGAAAACCTACTAACCCAGAAGCCTCATTCCATGAGTTCGAACGATTGCAGGCCGTCATCTCCTTCGTTTACAAATCTCCACTTGTCTGCAGCTCTAGTTGGACTTTGTCTAAATTGACTCTTATCAGTAATGTCAGTAGAATTCAAACTCTTCAACTTCCTAAGGTAGCCTCCGTCATCACATACAGGTTCAGCTGAAATCTCTGAAGAATGTGCTGCCTTAGGCCTTTTATGATCGCATTCTAAGCACACCATATTTCTCTTTAAGTTGATATAATTGTAAGAACAACCCAAATCATATTAGCATGCTTAGCTAGGTCACGATCAAATGTAATGAGAAAAACTTACCTGGTGCAGCTATGGTGGTTGTTAATCATACATAAGAACTCTTCTACTCGCTCAAGACCTTGTGTTCCAATGGTGATAGAACCCTAGTTTTCAGAACGTGTTCTTGTGAGCAGGGAATCCTTGTTTATAGATTTGAACTTCGCCAACCTCCATCCATCATGGATGGGTGGTTACTAACTGCTGTAAACGCAGTGATCAGTTTCAAGAGTCGTGGAGCAATGTGGCATCCTTATCACGACCTATGCTTCCGTTATATTAGGATGCTTATTTTCACATTTAAACTCGAAATCAGTTTGTATAACGACCAATTTGTATTTCAGCCTTATTCAACTTAGTTTAGTCCAATTAAGATTCTTACAATAATTGCACCTGCACGAAAACAGATCTCTAATCACAGAAGGTAAATTAGCAATACGGAACCACTGAACTGAGCATTGATTTCCAATCGAAAACGAATGAATGCGCATCACATTTGATAAGAGAAACTCACGTGTCACACTCCCACTAGCCGGGATTTATCTGCCGGTTTGGAGGCTTCTCTTTGCATTGCAAGCATCTACATCTGAAAAGACATTTACTCCCCAAATCTCAATAAGAAATGGAATTACAGAAGAATGTTAAGATCTTAGCAGCCATGACTTGTCACATATCCAGTCCCCCTTCTTCAACGGAAGACGTTCTTGATCCTCTCTATGTCGTGTCAGTCTTTCTTGGGAAAAATCATCACAACGAAGGCACTTGATATTTCTAGCAAAGTTTAATTAGGACGATGCATCTGCCGAAAAAAAATATTATTGAGGATAAAACAACTAAACAAGATTCAATAATCATAAACTGCACGATCAAGCTGTCAAATTACATGGGGCCAAGCCAGTCGCCTTGTGGCTTCGTTGGAACTGATTCTTTGACCATTTTGTTTAGACATGCCTTGTTCTCCACTGTACCAATAAAGGGATCAAGCCCATACGTTAACAAGAAACGCATGACATCCACAGTGTGGCCACCATCTTCCCGTGCCTTCACGTATGTTCTTTCACAGTCTCCTCTCAAATTGCAGGAGCCGCAAACCTACTAAAATGCCTGTTCTTATTAGATATGACAATTCGAACTTATATCTTAAGCTTGAAGTACAAGATATTGAAAACAAGATAACTAATATTGGATCAAAAGAAGACTGATAATATAGGCTCATTCAAATAAGAGGAAATTACTCAGATATTAAGCGCATGCATCTCCTTCATCAACACCCACATAAGCCCTTAGACGCTTTCCTGAGTTAACGACTTTCCTATCTAAGCTCGGGCATCCACATCTGGAAATGATCTGGATATCTTTCCTTGACAACATCCTGGCAACGAAGGGAATTTAATGAACAAAGGTCGAGATTACAAACATCGTATTTCAAGTCGAAGTCAGTAAATAACATCTCTGGCCTTCAGAAACAAGATAATCATCCTTATCATGCACACACTTGAAATAATAACTGCAAGCTTAAATGTTAATAGTAATGGCGAAACAAAACAACCTCAGTCATTTCAAACTCCACCTACGAATTCCGCTGCTAAATTTAACATGTCGTGCCGTGCATCCCACAGAGTTCAAATATCCAACAGGTTGCATCACAAGGGCCTCTTTCGAACTACTTCTTCACTACCTTTGAAAGAAAAACTCAAAAAGCGTTTCTGTGTCGTAAAAGCACTTTCTGGATAAGCACCTTTTCCAGGAAGCACTTGGGTGTTTAATAAGATTTCCACATAAACAGTCTCAACCAGCCCCAGTTGAAATAAGCAGAAAGGAAAACATTGCATCACAAGCTTTGCACTCAATGCCAGTCGTTTTTCAATCCAAATTAATTAAACTTACAACCTCAAACTTGAAAAGAAAAAATAATTTCAAAATTCATCCCTTTAAACCAAATCATCGTCATTACCTTAAAAGGCCAGACCGGCCCCGGTCGGGTGGCTCATCGGCGCCCGGCGAAAATTGGGTGATTATGTTTGTGGGTTTTGAGTGTTTCGACGATTGAAGCTCTTTGACTTCGTTGACTATGAAGTCGAGCTTTGGATAATTGGGAGCTAGCGTTTCTCTGGGGCTGTGAAATTGGGAAATTTGGGAGAGGAATTTGGGGCTTTGAAGTGGGTTCTGAGGAAAGGATAGAGAGAGCTATGGCCGGCTCTGAGAAGCTTGCACATTTGGGGTTTTCTGATTTTGGCGGAAAAGGGACGGGATGACCGTTATGTTTGTTTGAAGTTTAAAACCCCGCATCAGGGTTCACATAGCGCAGCACATGGTGAATTGGTACTTGGGACAATTTGTAGGAACGTCCTTGTGCTTTACTTATAATTTCACTATCATCCTTGCAGATTATTAGTTATCAGTTTGGTCCTCGTAAATTTCTTTGTTTTTTGTCGATACGATGATATTTGTGAATACTAGACTAAGTGACACGGTACGTCAGCTATAATTTTTAATTTTTTTTAAAGGGATCAGTTGATGGTTTTGTCACAGTAGTTCACCATTTTGAGAGCTGAAAAGACTCATATAGGCATTTCAGTCTCCTCTGACCACCATCGTGCAATTTACTATAGCCATAAATCAAATTCAAAACGTATCGTGTGGAATACGAGCCTGAAATTCATCATAACATGTCAGCTATAATTAGTCAAACTTGAAACCTCATACTCAAAAAATATGTCTTGGATTAGATGACCCTGACCTAATGACTCTTGGCCGAAAAATTATTAATTCACATATAAGCATGTACATCATGCACATATATCCTGCAAATTCTTCTTCTCGAATCCTTTTTTATAACACATCAATTTGCTCTCTCTCATCGGAAGATGGAGAATAGCAACTTAGAGAGGGGGCAACAATTAAACACTAAAACAAATTACGATAAAATAAAAACTTAATCTAATTCCTCACTTAGAGAGGGGGCAACAATTAAACACTAAAACAAATTACGATAAAATAAAAAATTAATCTAATTCCTCTTTTACACTTTTTGATCCGCCTGAGAAGTTTGCCCTAAACCAGTCCAATTTTTTGGCTGGACGGAAACTTCTTCTAAACAATTTCTATGTACAATGCAAGAGAATCTTGATTTTTTAATTAATTGAAAGAACAAGCCAGTACATTCTCCTCTTGTTTCTGTTCCGAGGTAAGCCGTTCGACCAAAATGTCCAACGCTTCCTTCATCCACCAATGTTGGCATGCCTCTCTTGCTTTCGTTGTAGTCATCTATATAAAAATATTTTGATCACATAAGATTTACCGTTTAATTTGAAAAATCACTGTCTAATATGTACGTACAATTAACTCATTAAATAAAAATTATTAGTTTTATGCACATAGATGAACTTATGATTTACGTGTAAAATCATACCCATATTCTTTGTCGTACATTCTTCTCAGGCCAAAGATCTAGTTGCTCCTTGACAAACAAGGGAAACATGTACCCTTCATAATATGTCTCTTGGCTTTTGCTCATGAAACTCCATTTGCCCAATTGGCACTGCAATCATATATTACAACTTAAATTAGGACAAAACATTTGCCAAAATGGAATTTAATTTCGCGGTAGAACATTAATCCCATCATCAATGACAATAGTTTGACTCTCGCCCGTCCTGCTTCGGTCCCCAATCAAATGTGAAAAGGGAAGTGAAAGAACAAAGAAAAGATACCAACCTCAACATTGCCTAGGACCCCTGCTTCTTCTAGTGACTCTCTTGAAGCAGCTTCTTCTACGGATTCATCAAGTTCCCAACCACCCTAATTAATAAACAAAATACTTGGTTGAATTTTGTATGGATATATAATGGGGTTAGAAAGCAATTTTTAGTTCTTTTAGGGAACCAGCCAATAGCTTTGCCACATTAATCATTCTTCCGGAGAAGGGAAAACTTACCTTAAGAAATAAATTTAGAAACGAAATAACCTCATGTAATTTATACCTTAGGGAACATAAATGCATTGCCTTTCTGTGAAGTGATCACAAGGACTTCCAATTCGTTGCTAATGGCACCATCACTGCCATCTTTGTATCTATAGGGAATGCATCTGCAACATTGAATATTAAACAAATTAAACATCTTAAACATATTATTAATCGTGATTACCTTTTATTAAAGCTAAAATACGAGGAACAGTCAATTGTCGGAACAATAGAAAAATCCATAAACCGAACAGAACTTAAATGGATTCATTTGACAAGTGCGAGATATATGAGCATGTCCCCACGGTGACGAGAGATTCTCAGATACAAGAGATATACAACCAGTTATACATTAGAATTCTCTCTCTCTCTCTCTCTCTCTCTCTCTCTCTCTCTCTCTCTCTCTCTCTCTCTCTCTCCATCATGAAAGAAAAAGAACACGAACGGGAGGAGCCAACCAATACTTTTTCAACGTAACAAAACCATGTCAAGAAAAGCTCAACAACAACAGTAACAACAACAACCAGAAAAGAAGAATAAGAAGAAGAAGAAGAAGAAGAAGAAGAAGGAAAAGAGCTTCACCCTACGACTTGCCGGCGGCCCATGTTGTACCTCTGCAATTCCCTTCCCGACCGAGCAACCAAACAAGTCATCTTTTTGGAATCTAGGTTTGCAGTTCTGATCAACCAAATTAATTAATTGAACACAGAAAAGGCCAAGAAACAAAAGGGGAAAAGGGTTGTTTGGAAATATGGATTGGCTAGGATTTGTTGTGTTATTATATCCCAAATCCAAAAAAAGTTGATCAAGTTATATAAATATTGGAGGTTAAGACAGAAATGCAATTGTGCAATGTAAGTTCAGATTTTGGGGGCACAGAGAAAAAGATGGGTTGGCAAAGACACACCAAGTAGATATATATAGAGAAAGGCTTTGATGGCCACCGTTTCAAGATAACAAAACACCGTTTCTCTTCTATCCCCACACTAATTTATTACTATATTGGGTAGGTCGTATCTCCGGTAATGTATCATATATATGAACCGTTGGGACAAATTTTTTTACCTGTATCAGGGAACACTTTTTATATAGATGTAATGTATATTTTTATGTGTTACGGAATATGAATAGACAACATAATTGATACTATATTAAAAAGAATAAATGCATGTAGCTCTCTCAAAAGTAGGACTCTTCATATATTTACTATCATCTCATAGTTTAACGTTGAATATCAGGTCAACATTATAAAATATTATGCTAAAAACATGAGATGTAAGGAATCTATGCAGAATCCCATTTTATGAGAATCTCTTGGTATTCTCTAAAGGATATGTATTATAATTTAACGAAAAACATTACGTGTAAGCATACCATACATGTAGAAATTTTCTCGTACGCTAAAGAGAGAGAGGGACAAACGTAGTCCAACTAATGCCCTGGGTGCGGACGACACTCACGTCGCCTTCTGAGACGGATTTGTTTCGTTTGAGTCTCTGAGGCCTTCTATGTCGTTTCCCAACAACAACCCTTTTTTGTTATTGGCTGAGTCCACGCGGCGACAATTCATTGGGCCGGTGGAAGTTGACTTTCTGAGGACATGCTCACGTGTATAGATCATGCGCATGCCTTTTATTTCGGTGATTTTTTTATCTCTGTCCCTTCCTACTTTCCCGCATGCGCAGGAGAATCATGGCTTGCCCTCCGGTTATTATTTGAGTTTTTTCGTTACTAGCCTTCTTTCACGCGCAACAGAATCATGGCATATTCCTTTTACTCGATTGTTTTTTTTATTTGCTTTTTTTTTTACGGGCATTGTTATACTTTTGGATGAGAGCGTTGTCAATAGTTTCAAATGATTGAGATCATATTAGTAAGAAATTAAATGAAGGCCACCAAGAGCATTCGTATATGTATCCTCTCCAGAAAGTTCAATAATTCGCAATGTTAAAAGGAATATGGCTTTTTTTGCCATTCATTCTTACTGCATGCATGCGTATTTTCAATGTTTTGCGTGTAGCTATAGTATATGTCATTAGGGTTCAGTAATCGAACATTGTATAAGATATTGGATCTAAGTGTATGATTACGTATTTTACATGGATGAATAATGTTAATAATAAGCTGAATTTTAAATCCTTTGATATCATAAATAGTTTGTTACGTCTATATATCTATTTGATTGATGTGACATAGAAAGAGTTTGCGAGAAAAACTTACCTGAGTCGGTCTGCTTCATGCATGCTTTCTTTAGATAAGGTAAACATGAGTTATTTTAGTTTCTTTCGTAGTCAAATACAAGTGTAATTTACATATTGATAAATGAATCTTTGAAATCCAATGTAAGTGAAGAAAATAAGGAACAATTATGTAATGGATCTGCCAGAAGACTGCGCATGCAAAATACGCATCATATAGTTGTTGAAATTTGAATAGATATGGGAGTAGGTTGAGTTGTAGTAAAGAAGAATAGTATAAATAGACAATGGATAGACTTTATTATATCCTAACGGTAGTTTACATTTTGCCAAAATATTGAAAAGAAATTTAGGATCAATAATTTCCCTCTCTAAACATATGCCACCACAAAAGAAATCTAAATGTCGCCATTTTATTGCGTTTATTCCATTTAGATTATGACACATTGCACGCTAACAACAACATAAATACAAGCAAAAACACTTTATATTTGCGTTTATTCTACATTGATTTTGACCTACCAACATCAATCTCAAATGTCTCTAATCATCTAACTATTACTTGTCGAATATTCAAAGTATGAATCTCAAGTTGAGGACGGAATATATTTTGTATGTGATTATAAGTAGTTGAGCTAGTTTTTATATTGTTAATTGGTTTTATGGTGGAATCTAAACATTTTTTTCATTGCTAGCTATTTAAACAAGTAAATGAATCGTCACTAATACTATGATCCAGTAATGCTCATCTCCACTTATAAGTAAAGGATTTCAAATTCGACTTGCATGCACTGTGAGTTCGATATCCAATTATGGCTGACCTAATATGTAACTTAATTTAAAGACTTAATTGGATTAATAGTCCCCTTAGTGATAGGGTAGTTGGAAGATAGTCCGTATGGTTATAAAAAAAAAAATTTGATTTAAGTCCCTGTTATGAAGTCTAAGAAGATTTATTCTCAAATTTGAAAATTTCATCAACTTTCTGTTAATTATTAGCACGTGAGCCAGCCATACGTGTTAACAATTAACAAAGAGTTCCATTTTAGTTTAATATGTGTATGGAGAGTTCCGTTTTAGCCTAATATGTGTGGTTCACGTGCTAATAATTAACAAAAAATTGATGGAATTTTCAATTTTGGACATAAATCCTAACAGACTTCACCACAGGGGCTTAAATTCTAATTTTTTTTAATCACATGAGCTATCTTCCAACTATTTTATTACCACGAAGACTAATAATCTAATTAAACCTATTTAAATCTTAATCGTAAATATTATAGTATCGAATAAATGAGCCAAGATGAAAAAGACGTGAATGAAAAATGAATTTTTATAAATTGAAAAGTATACGTATTAATCAAAATCCAAAACAAGTCGCCTTCAAAGAGAGACTGATAAGTATAAGCCTCTTAGGTTTGAACTGGTCGGACTCACATGGACTTGAACATGCTTACTCTTCCGCGCACACCCCAAGAATTATTTGGTCTCTGTTTTCTCCCCTTCCATTGTTTAGTCTCCAAACATAAAAAAATTATAAGCCTCAGATTAAACACATATAGAATGACCACAAGGACTTCCAACTTCAAACATAATGTATACAAATATACGTAGAAGCATATTCGTGACACTACTTTTCTTACATAATTTTTTTTTATAGATTTTGTAGAGTTCACTCCGTATTGTACTTTAATAATTCGAACCGTCTATTTTTTAGAATATCATTCATAGATCATCCTTGCAAAAAAATTAGACAAATCCAAAATTATTAAAACATTCATATGTAGTAAAGAAAATGAACGAATATGATTCTACAAATAAACCCTAAACTCTTAATCTAACAATGATATGATTTTAAATTTGGGTGATTTTTGGTAAACATGATCTTTGAGGGATGGTCTAAAATATAAATGGTTCAGGTCGTTGAAATACATTATAAAGTGGGCTTCATAAAAACGTATGTAAAAATTGTATAAAAAATAGACATACATACATACATACATACATACATACATAAAAATTTTATAAAAACGTATGTAAAAATTATATAAAAATGGGGATTAGTCCCACACCTAATCTCTATTTTTATGAAAAATAAAAATGGGGATTCCTTTGCATAAAGTGCCTATATATATAAATAAAAATGGGGATTCCTTTGCATAAAGTGCATATATATATATATATATATGCAAATGATTTCGAATTGAATTAAATTTTTGCACGGATGATCTATGAATCAAAACTTATAAAATAAATGGTTCGAATAGTTGAAGTTAGATGTGAGCAAGTTTCATACCTAATCACCATTTTTTTAAAAAAAAAAAAATAAAATAGATATCACTCCCCTTAAAGCCTGTATGTGCGTATGCATGCGCGCGTGTGTGTGTAATGGAGCAGTTGAGGGTGAATGCTAAAGTTTCGTTTTCTTAGGTGTGGCTTTGTCTTCACTCTTATGTATATGCCATTTGGATTGAGGACAAAATCAAGATGGTTAGGATTTGGATAAATACTCAACTTGTATTTAGGTGAGGGCCTTAATTAAACCATGGGGCATGACAATATTGAATATATTTAAAACCTAAGAAAAGTCTTAACCCTATTAAATTTGGCCCCCCAATGTCTCATCACTGGTGATCGGTCACATGGGAAGTTTCCTAACTACCATATACATTATACACAGTGGATATGATATATATGGTAGGTAGTAGTTACTAGTTTAGATGAAAGAATTCTAGGGTGTTTTTGTAACACCAATTAATTCGATCGGAGATGAGTTTAATTATATTGCATATATGTGTTATAACATAAATGAAATAATAATATTAATGATGTATTAATGTTCTACAATCACATCGAAAAACTTTGTTATCTACGTTAATGTGCTATTCGAAAATAATAATTAAGTTTTTGCTCGCATATGAATTTTTTTTCAATGTGCCTGTAATATGGGGTAATACGTCGCATGTTATTATACAATTGAATGAGATTTTTTGTCACATCCCGGCCCGGGTAGGACCACTTCCCGGGCCCGCTCCACCACCGTAGCACGATATTGTCCGCTTAGGGCTTACCATTCCCTCACGGTTTTGTTTTTGGGAACTCACGAGCAACTTCCCAGAGGGTCACCCATCCTGGGAGTGCTCTCGTGCGCTACTCGCTTAACTTCGGAGTTCCTATGGAACCCGAAGCCAGTGAGCTCCCAAAAGGCCTCGTGCTAGGTAGGGATGGGAATATACATTTAAGGATCACTTCCCTGGGCGATGTGGGATGTCACAATCCACCCCCCTTAGGGGCCCGACGTCCTCGTCGGCACATACGCGGCCAGGGTTAGGCTCTGATACCAAATTGTCACATCCCGGCCCGGGTGGGACCACTTCCCGGGCCCACTCCACCACCGTAGCACGATATTGTCCGCTTTGGGCCCCGACTACGCCCTCACGGTTTGTTTCTGGGAACTCACACGAGAACTTCCCGATGGGTCACCCATCCTGGGAGTGCTCTCGTGCGCTACTCGCTTAACTTCGGAGTTCCTAAGGAACCCGAAGCCAGTGAGCTCCCAAAAGGCCTCTTGCTAGGTAGGGATGGGAATATACATTTAAGGATCACTTCCCTGGGCGATGTGGGATGTCACATTTTTTTTTCCAAGTGTCCCTCTAATTATATCATAACATATGACCATACCTGGCAAACGGGCCGTCTTTGTTGTGTTCGTGTTATACCCGTTTTTGGTCATGCCGTTAAGATAACGGATTTTTAATAGGTGACTCGATAACGAATTGAATTGTTAACGGGTCGTGTCGGGTTAACTGGTTATGCAATAAATTATCATATCTAATATCTAGATTCGACAAATAATATTTTATCGTTTTCTTAGAGGGTAACGGGTGACCTGATAACGACACGATTTGTTAATGGTTTCTTAATGGATGACTCGATAACAATCCGAATCATTAACAGGTTGAACAAAAACCTATTATTTTCGTGTTATTTCATGTCGAGTTAACAAATCATATAAAAAATTATCAAACGTACATATAACGTATTGTCTCGTGTTTTGAACACACTAAAACATCTCTCCTCGTATACATATAATATGGGCATCACATGTACATAGACTCGCAACTCATGTGCAATTGTTTAATCGGTATAGTTTTTTATGTTTTTATTCTAACAGCTCACATGGAAGATTGAGAATCTGAATGACTAGCGAGCCAATTATTATTCACTAAAATATATTAACATTGCTAGTTATAAAATAAAATGCATCAAGATCCACGTTACAATTAAGTTATTAACCAATCATACCACGTTCATTCAACCTCTCTCTTTTTTTCGTTTCTTTATTTATTCTTCTTTCTTTTTATATTTTATCGATTCATTGAAACTTTTGTCCTTGCCCTTCGAATTCAAATTTTATATTTAAGTGAAGGCTAAAAAAAGCAAGGTTCATTGTCACTAGTACATTTTAACTACTTTATATTATTATTATTATTATTATTATTATTATTATTATTATTCTTTCTTTTTATATTTTATCGATTCATTCAAACTTTTGTCCTCTGCAGTCTGCACTTCGAATTCAAACTTTATATTTAACTGAAGGCTAAAAAAGATCAAGGTTCATTGTCATTGGTACATTTTAACTACTCGAACAAAGATAAGAAAAAGGTCTAAGATTTCTTAAAAGAAATTTGTTCCCAAGCCGAAATTTAAGGCCAACACAAAACAATGTGCTTGGTATACAAGATTCTCACTTGTTTTTAATGGTCTCTTAATCTATTTTTCGTTTTTTTAAATAGGACTAGCTAGTCGTTTCGTCATACAATCCACTTTTTTGAGATTAAGAAGAATCACATAAGTATTTCAACCTCCCTCAGCCATCATCGTGTGATTCACCGATATCATGAATCAAACTTAGAATGTGTCATGTGGAACACTGCTTATAATTCGTATCTAACCTCTGAGTCATCCCATGATTTACTGATTTATGGCTATAAAAAAGAGAGAAGTGCAGGTTCTAAAAGGCGTGCAAAATCATTTGCTTTTTCTCTAGTGCACACCAAAAGTACTTGTTCAAATACGGTGCTTAAATGTACGTTTTGATGTGTACTAGAGAAAAATCACAGGACTTGAATCCAGGACCTTCTGTGCCTGTATCCTAATACCCGAATTATCTGCCACTAGCTTGTGTGTTCGTATAGAGCTCTCTAGGGTTATGTGACTGGGCTTGAGCGCATGCTTACTATTTCATGTGGAATGGGCTTTGCTCCAATTTACTCATAATATTTTTGTTGTACTTACATGCTTGTGTAGGTTGTTTTGTTTCAATTTTGTGGTTTTCTAAATTTAAAATTTTGTGTCTATAATATTTTGTTCAACCTTTGTTTTGGTATACCTTGTCAATTAAGTTGGTAGGAATGTTGCCTCATTTGACGAATTGGACTGGCAACGCTAACAAAATGAAACTACAAAAACGAGACTTCAACAAAAAAACTAAGGAAAAAGTGAAAACCCAAATATACTACAATCTACAAATACTTTTAGTACAATTCAACTTTAAATTTATTTTATTTTTTTAACACGATGATGATGGGTTGATAATTCATGATCATGAATTGAACTCGCTATTTATATAAAATCTCCTACTTACAAGTAGCTTAATTTTTTTAAAATCTAATATATTCATAAAGTCACATCAAATACATGCAAGTATTGTAGTTAGTTTAAAAAATTAGAACGTTGTATCCAGTAGCAGATCTAAGATTCGAACCTTGGGGATTCGAGTGGTGAATACAAGTTTTTTAGCCAGAAACAGGGTACGAAGCGCGCAAATAAAAATTCAGTTTATTCACTAAGACATTTTGTCGAACACTTAGACTTGTTCTCGTTAGTCAAACCATGTGTGCACATGTCAACATATATCAACATATGCCGATGAAATCTGATGAGTAATAAGGAGAGAATTTGTCGAGTGTTGTTGACGCAATCTGTCGAGATATTTCTACCAAATATTACTTCAAACACTTGATAGATACAAAAGAGACCCATACCAAACATTCAAAAAATTCTCGAAAGAGCTTCACATTATATTTTTCGAACTCTGATCCTAGGACATCATGTTTGTACCCTAATTTCTAAACAGAAAAGGGAAAGTTGAAAAAATTGTATAAAGTAGGTTGCTTAAACTCTGCAAACACCAAAAGGAAGCAAGTCTAAAAGAACTGCGTTGCAAGTAGGAATAATGCGCATTTACACGCGCACACAACCGTAATCGCTTGCTTTCGTGCTTTTCCGTATTTAATTGACTTCATACATTTCTTAATTTTGTTTACTTTCTACAAAGCTTGTTTTTGAAAGGGTAATTCATACTGTATCGATAAGAATCCCTACAAATCGACAAGTATCTTTCCTATTAAGCCTTCCACACATGTTCCACAAGAATCATCTTCATCCATGACAGAAGGATGAGGCTCAAAACATTACCATAATTTCACTTTCACCCAAAAGAAAAAAAACTTTTATCACCACGTAAATGCCCCGTTTTTTAAATTCTTGGATAATACTCGGGTCATGACCAGTTAAGACATTGTATTCTTATCCAATACATACACCACTTGTTATTATCATTTTAAAGAATACTACTGATTCACGATCTTTGGTTTTTAATAATAATAATAATAAGACATGTATTACGTGATTCCTAACGTCGTTGAGTAAAGATTTAGGATTCTGATTCATGAGACTCAAATATTGTTTAGAAGAGATTTAATCATGATTGATCTATAAAATTGGACCTTCTAATCAAAATGCTCTCTAAAATAAAAAAAAATAATTAATTTAGTTCCCGAAAATAGGTCTTGTAATTATCCTTTTGTAAAATTTTCTATTATTTTTTTGATGTGGCATACTAATAGAAAATTTGATGGAAAGTTAACAGAATGACCAAATGATTTGCGAAACCCATTTTTAGGAACCAAATTGATAAACTTTTTATTTCAGAGACCATTTTGATTGAAATATCCAATTTCAGGGACTAATCTTGATAAAAATCATTTTCTAGAATGTTTAAGAAAGGCATGAAGTCAAGTTGCATGCATTAATTATTTAATTACCTTGATTTGGTGCATTATTGTTCTTCATTATCAAGTCAAAGGACGAACATCCTTCAAACAAGCGTGGAAGGCCGGTGGCTTTGTTTGGCCAGCCACCCAATTTCTCTCTCTCTCTCTCTCTCTCTCTCTCTCTCGGACTTTGCCATTGTTCTTTGACCACAAATGACCCAACTAATGTCTGGATTAGGCTACTAATCAAACTAGTACAGTCACGAGGATACCTACAACCCAATAGTTGACAAAGAAACCATAGGGGGCACTGATCCTCTCCACCAATAAGATTATACACAAAAATGATAAAAATAGTCAAGTGGGTCCAACCACTATGGCTAAAATGATAGTTCCAATTCCAAGTTAGTGAACATTATCATCACTTGAGGATGGTGAGCAAAAATGCACCCTTAACTTATTAAATTGAACGGCTAGAATGAAAAAAGGTACGTTAGAAGAAAAAAATATGAAAATCTCGTGTAAACACGTCTCAAATTGATTTCATTCGGAGGAAGTTACTAAATATCTTAACTTCCCTTTTCTCACCATTCATGAACAAATCTTGTCGCTTTTTGTTTCTTTCTTCCCAATATTTAAAGCAATCAAAACGTTCATAACTCTCCAATAAACAAAAAGAAAAAACAGACACAAGGCCGAAGGTGTGATTTCTTAACGCCATAAGAAAACGAGAGCGTTTGTTGCGCTGAGTCTTTTTATGGAGAACAAGAACATCACCACCAAGACGACGGGCGAAAACAACGACGACAACGGGAGCATGGACGAAGAGGGGACCTACAGCTACATGGATGTCCCAATTCACAGCCAAGTGATGAAGATCAAGCAGGAGTTTGAGAAGATCAAGCACCCGTCTCTGCAGCAGCCTGCAGAGGTGAGGCGGAGACGCGTGATTATGCGGGAGATTACCCGGCAGCGCTCGCGTTCGCCGCTGGGGCTGGCCACATAGGGATAACCTCGTAGGGGTTGCCCTGCCTGCGTCTGCATGGAGATGGTGGCGACGCTTTAGAGTTAGAACTATTTCGTGGTTTTTCCCTCCTACTGTTTGTTTTCTGGTTTTCCCTTTTACTGGTATTCTGGGGTTTTACAGTTTTACTTTTACTACGTTAGTTGTACAGGTAGAAGTATGTTGTGGGAAATTTAAGGAATAGTGAAATTAATGTTAATTTTCTGCTTGCCTGGTCTCATCGTTTCTTAGTTTAATTTCATGATTATATACTTTTTTTTAATTTATTTCTGTAAGTTTTGCTGTTTCGGAGGATGATCAGACATCATATGCTTCGTTTTACCGTAGAATTTTGCGAATTAATCTGTGTTTTGGTTTCCTCATCGTATCATCTGAGAATATTCTTCGTCGATGCTTAAAAAGTTCAAAACATCCTTTTTCTGTGATTAGAAAGAGTCATTTTCTTCAATTTGCTGACATTTTCAAACATAATTCAACTGGTAAACTCATGGTCGATACGAAAACCGCCCTGTCACATCCAGTTCGACCATACTAAGAAAGAACGAAAAAACAGCTAAATAGAGTTGCATTGATTCATTCAGTAAGTAGGACGATTCGAAAAGAACAAAAGATCTGAGATCAAAACTAAACAAACCAACGTTTTCAAGCATTCTACAAATGATAATACTCAAATTACTAAAGAGAAGAAAGAAATTGTGAACAAAGTAACTAAAAAGAGAAGAGGCAACAAACATGACCAAGAGTAAAAGAGTGTTGTGGGCAAACACGCCAACTTTACTGCAGTAATTCAGCCTTGAGAGGTGGCGGTTTCTTTCGATGCAAGTAACTTCACCCTCCTTGTGAGATCTCTCATCACGTCTATAATCACCGATTTTTTCTGAATTCTGAACTGGATAGCCAGCTGTGTAGAATCTGAAACACCTCTACTCAACAGGGATTCGTCTTCCATGATTTTGGTTGGGAAATGTCCCAGTGCAATCACACATAACGCAATAACGGTGCGAAAAGCAGCTAATTCATTTGCAATACCAAGGGGAGCTTCAGCTGATATAGATTTAAGTTTATTTAAATCTTGCTTCTGAACTGTTTCTATGTCATCAGCAAGAACAACTCTTAAGGCTGCCAACAAGCGCCCCTCCACCAGTTCCGAGCCCCCTAAGCATACCTATTAAGCAAGAGATGAGAAGAAACGGTTAAATATTACAAATTTGTGTACGAGAAGGTCTAAAAAAGTCTTTTCATAATTGTAGTATGACTACCATGATCAATCCGATGACGGTAATTATATATTTTTCATGGAAGCAGGTACCTTAAGAAGGGGAGCTTCCCCATCTAACTTTAGCTGGCATAAAATTTCTTTCTGCCATGAAGATGGTGTAGAGAAGTTGGGCGATGACACTCCTGCAGCCATACTTGCAGCGTCCAGAAGTGCTCCATCATATTTGAGCTCAATACAATCATAGGGATTTGAAGGTATCACAAATCCATAATCCAAAAGGAAAAGATCATTGTTTAAACATCCATAGTTGAGTACTAAACCATCGTTCTCCTTGATCTCTGTTTCTGCTACAACCTGGATTGAGAGGAGAATCTCGATGAGTAATTTTCAACTGCAATTCCAATGGAGAATTCCGGAATGACATTAAAGAAACAACAATAAAATAAAACCTTTACTAGCATCTTCATGTTCCTATTATCTTGGTCCTGAACTATTGCGGCATTTGGGTTGAAACTATGGTTGCACATATCAATGAGAGGAAGCATCATCGGGATATCATTGTAGTTCCCACCTCGAAGCTTTTTACCATATAAACGGAATGCCCGAGACGAAACTGCTGACATTGCCCATCCAAGGGAGGATGCATCTACAGATTGGCCACCAAAAGGGTGATCGTTTGATTTCAGATTTTCCAGAGCACGTTTGACTTCTTTTTCAAAATCAAGAAGAAATCTGCATCTCTTGTTCACCTGCAGTAGGAAATCACTAAACCTTCAAAGCTTGTTGTGGAAACCGAGTGGTCATCAAGATCAAGATAAGAATCTCAACACAAGCTATCTGACTCATGTTGTTGAACGTGGACATGCCTCTAATGTCAGATATTGTATGAATCCCAAATCATAGGATTAAAAAGACAGCTTGAAGTGCAATTCTCTTCTTCAATGTCCACAAGTAAACAAAATCTATGTGGAACAAAGCATAGCCAATAGCAAAAAAAGACAGCAACTGAGAGACTAAACCATGGTAAATCAGAGGACATGTCCATCTCTTTCTTTGTTGGATAAAGGTTTAGGGATCTCACAGAAAGTTCGCCGGCAAATAAAACACATACTGCCTCAATGCATGCCCAACAATCCTCCCTATTGTTGGACACAATTCATAAAAAGGTCCAAGGCAATATCAAACTATAAACATAAACCTACATTTTCTTTTAAGATATCACAATAGCTTACTAGCCTATTTTTAGTTGCAGGTCTTATATTGCTTAGTATACAAGTAAATATTGGTATTTAGGTGGTCAAGTAAGATACCTGATAAAGAAGTGGAGCATACTGCAAATTCTTTATGTCCTCACCGGGGAAGAAGATGGGTATATTGAACGTTTCAGGAAGGCTGCTGATGTATGGCCACCAGAAGGATCCAGTTTTTGCTCTTTCTTGCAGAAGCTTCAAACCCAATTTCATTGCCCATAGTTCCTCTGCCAAATGCTTCCACAGTGTTCGATTTACTCATATTCAAAACTCACTACAGCCTAGTGTAAAAAACTTTTAAGTTACCAACCTAAACAGAACAAAGAAAACCTAAATGCTATAGAAAAGTAGCAGGGTTTTACGTAAGAAAACATCTGGTTTAAAATATTTCATACACGGAAATATGCCCGAATAAGAACTCACCTACATCCGAGGAGGCATTTTGATATGGCGATCTACCGCTAATTACTCACATAGAATTAACAATTTTAACTTTTTCGATAAGGTGATATTCCTAACTACGGGGATAAAGATTCAAACTTGGGTGCAAGGGACATAGCACACTGCCGTGACCAACTCATCTAACCCGCATTTGCGAATTAACATCTAAACATTAGATAAACACAGGATGCCACTAAGCATTCAAAATCCCGTTGAAATGATGCTTCAATTCCGCGCCAGTTTAGTACATATGTACGTCAAAGTTCAAACCTTTACCACTCTTTTGAACCAAATGAATCAAAATATAGCAAAATGCGAAATACCCATTAAACAAAAAGCATATTATACACCAAAATATTAATATATTATCAGAAAACCAATCAAATGGGAAAGCTAAAAATGCTTACCAGGAACTAGGCGAGCCAAATCGTCGAGAACAGAGTCGACCCCATCTCCGCCGTCCGATTCAATTGAGTCAAATCTCAACGGTACGTGCTCCGGAAGCACAATTAGTTCGGAACCCTTTGGGATTTCCTCAGAAGCCACCAATCCAAGACCAAATGAACTATCTTGAGCTATCTTCACGGCCTCGTGCACGAACCCTCCTTCCCGACGGACCCACTTGATCAGGTCCGGCGGGTGTGGAGCCAGGCGCGCAGGATAGGAGGCAGAGGCAGCGCAAGTTAGAGGGCGGAAGGCGGTAAAGGAAGCCATTAACATCTTGGAAGCTGCCATGGTCAAGCCCCACTTCATTCCTCCTTCCTAGTGCGGGTGAGGATCTTTGAGAGTTTTCGATGTTTTGGTCATGGATTAATTTCCTCGAAAAGTTATGGCCAGGTTAACTAGGGGAACATCGAGCGACGGAAAGTCGAGTGATATGTTCGGCAGATGTGTACCGAATGTAAAGAAAGTTCGGCAGGTGCCTACCGAATAAAAACTGAAACATTGGGCATTACCATGCCAAACAATTTCATTACATATTTCTATGCTTAAATTATTGGACCTCACATGTTACATTATTGTCAAATCCATTCTATTTTGAATACTTTGTTTGTCAACTTCATGTGTGTGACCATTGTTTGAGAGGAGATTTTTTAATATGTCCGAATATAGGGTGGTATACCACATGTGATTATAAAAGTGGAAGGAAGTTTTTTTTTTTTTTTTTTGAAGTGTTCCTCTACTTGTATAATAACGTATGCGCATGAAAGATTCCGACTCATTATACTGAGTTTAAATCAAACTCAAACTCAAAATTTTCAACCCGACGTGAAAGATTCATTGAGCGTTCTCAATTAGGTAACTTGGAAATATTCAAATTGTGAGAACTCGACTACCATATTAGTGAATGAATCTCCTTAAAAGAGAAAGGATCATCATTTTAGTTTTACTCTTTGTCCAGTATGACATCTCGAACTACATGAGAATTGCAAATTTAATTGTACTTTCAAGTTCGAATTCCCGTCCCTATTAGTTTCCATTGCCAAAGGTAGAGACTTAAGCCCATTCAAACAAAAAACATAAAGGGAAAAAACAAAGGGATTATATCCGAATTAAGCACAAGGATGAAAATGTTAATATGATCAAATTCTTATTTAATCATAAAAATCCTACCAATTAACTGAACAAAAATAAAAAATAAAAAAAAACTATGGCAATCGCAGATGAGATGAATCAATCCAAAAAAAGTGGGAGTGTCATCAATTAATTTGACGTTGATGATCAACCTGAAGCCGGATCAATGTAATGCGATCCCGTCATCATCATGACCTTAAACTCCTCGAAACTGATCATACCGTCGCCGTCACTGTCGACGCCGCCGATCATCTTCCGGCATTCGTCGATCGAACATTCGTCTCCCAAGCTCCGGAGCACTTCGTACAATTCCTCCGCCGAAATAGACCCGTTCCCATCAATGTCGTAGACGGAGAAAGCGTCTTTGAGATTTTCGAGGGCCTCGGCGGAGTCGACCCCTTTGGTGTTGAGCTCAACGAACTCTTTGAAGTTGATGAAGCCGTCGCCGTCCGAATCGACCTCGGAGATCATGCTATTGAGCTCCTCGTCGGAGGACGGCTGCCCCAGGCTGCTCATGATGGCTCCGAGCTCGGAAGACGAGATCTTTCCGTCGCCATTGACGTCGAATTTCTTGAAGACCTGGTCGAGCTCGGCGATCTGGGCGCGCGAATGGAAGGAGGGGGTTCGCGAGTGGGCTGAAGCGGGGGCGGGGTGGGCAGAGGCGGAGGCGGCGTCCGGGTGGGCAGCGGCGGGGTCGCGACTGGATTTCTTCTTCCGGGAGAAGAGGGATTTGAAACCCATCTGGATTAGAAAAAACAACCGGAAACCGAAACCGAAACCGATGGAAGGAACAAAACTCGAGATTCAGATTTGGGGTTGCTGAATTCGAAAATTGGGGAATTGGGATTTGATTTTGTTTTTGGGGATTTTATATGAAATTGGAGTGAGAAAATGTGTGAGGAGAGAGAAAGAGGAGAGAGAGAGTTTGGTTAGGGAGATGGTGGGGGGAAATAAAACGGAATCCAACTGAATCTCTCTCTCTGTCACGCCTCTTTGTTTTCTGTTGAGTTTTACTCTGATGAATCCTTGCTAATTTTGGAAGAGAGAGAGAGAGAGAGAAGGATTAGCGCGTGAATTGAAATTACGGTAGTTACAGTGCACACCAACTCAATGACTCGGTGCACGCAACGGTTACCACACGGCACCCACTCAACGACCTCCTTAACTTCCCAGATTTTTTCTTTTTTGGACCAATGCCAAAATTAAAGAGGTGCGTTGATCTTTGGTCGATATTCTAATTTAATCTCATCGATGTCTACGTGGCACCAGAATCTGCTTACTAAACATAAGGAAAGCGATTTAAAGCTTCTAAAACTTGAGCCAACTTAAAGATAAAAAGGTTGAAAATGTTTAAACCATACGATAAAATAAATAACTTTTGCATAGGTGTTGTTAATGTTTCGGGCTAGGCCATTGCGGGCTTACCACTATTATGGGCCTGTTTGAGACAAGCTTGGATTTTAAGTCTCAGCCCAAACCATACCTATAACTCATTTGAAACAGGCCTAAACTGCGTGTCAACTGGCCCAGACTACAGCCAGGTCGGCCCGCTTTAGCATTGTGCTTGATTCCGTGATAAAATGGTAAAAGAGGCATGTAATTGCGTGCCGAGGGTATAATCAAATCAGTGCCGAAGTCAGAAATTTAAAACGATGAAGTTGAAAAATAGCTTTAAAAATTTGATGATACTTTCAATTATAATTGTCCAAGACATGTTTTTATGTTTTGGAAACGTTGTATCAGAACATCATTATCAATAGAACCAAATACATATTTCTCAATGTCCATGATCAAACTATCATTGAGATATTGGTCACCATCTTATTACGATGTGGATTCTTCATAATTTTCATCACTGGAAAAGCTCTTTCAAGTGAAGCAGTCGTAACAGGTAAAATCAATGTTAATTTCACTAGCAAGTATACCTATGAATACTGTTTATGCCTCTTTGTCTCCACCAACTTTTATGCAAGGCTACTAATTCATTTAAACCTAGAAAATTCAGTATGCAAACGCGCGTCAAAAATATAATTCTTAAGTTCATCTTCAAGAAGTGTGAGCTCCATATTAGAAAAATTTGTTGGATAAAATTGAGCAAGATGAACCATCTTTTGGATATAGCGCCTGTGTTGTGGTGGAGGAGTCATGCGCAGATGAAACCCAAAAGACGTGGTTGTGATGTGGTAGAGAAGCAGCGTGTAAGTTCATGTTTCCTTTTTAAAGTGAAAAAGAAAAACGACATAGTTTGGTTAAATGAAAAAAATATTACTTACAAATCATTTTATTTCTTAAGGATAAGTTTGCCAGGTTATTGGGGATAAAGCTTACAGAACCAGTGTGCGTGCTGCTGTTGCAGTGTTGCAGTGCTGTTATTAGGGACATGTTTACAAGTTGATGCAGTGTTATTGTGCTGCTATAGGGGTCAAAATTTTTGAGGTAAGGATAAGCTTACAAGGTCATTGGGGTCAAGGGATGTCAATGCTCCCGTATTGGCTCCGCCGCTGAATCAAATCATGACAATTGTTTACATTTCTTAATTACAACTAATTATCTTAATAAGCACTAGCATAATGCGTCACACCTCGTGTGTGAATATAATTTTTATTTTAGTTTTAAAATGGAAAGGAGAAAGGGAGTAAAAGAGGAGCGTGAAATTAGATAGAGAAGTTTTCATTTTTTATTTTAAATTGGAGGATGTTAAGATTGTATTTGGATGAGGTTTTCAAAAAAAACTGTAAAATTTTTATTTTGTATGAATTTATTTTATTGTTCCTAGTTTTATTTTGTAGTAAAGGACTAAATTATATTTTCACGTTCTTTTGATTAATGAACAGCATTTTATTAATATATAATTTAAATAATTAAAATATATTAAGTCTGATGTGATACCAACGGCAATGCACTTCTGAACAAGTTGACATGAAATCTTAAGCCCCCTTAGAGTCAACCCTTTCTCTCCCTCCGCACTCTGCTTTTTTATTGGACCAGAAACACGGTAAAACAAATGAGTGGAAACTTAAAAAAAACAAAACAAATTATATTATAACACTTAATATATCAGTCCGTGTAATTGACACGCTAAAAAATTCCTCCCACACCTCCACGTGATGTCCTCCCAAAAGGGGTCCCACTTTACAGTCTAGTTTAATGGTGGAAGCAGAGGCGGTGAGGTGGGGTTGGCTTGTATGGAGAGAGGTTATGGAAGGATTCAGATTGAAATTGACTCGAAGATGCTTGTGGAGATTTTAAATGGCCTTATACTGCCGGAGGCTAGCATTGAAGGAATATTATGGGACATTGAGTCATTGAGTATAGTAAACATCAATTGGGTTACGTGGAATTTCTTTATACTCCTCAGGCCTATAATGAGTCTGTGTATTTGGTGGCGAAGTTTGTCATGCGTATGGGGGGGGTTCTCATTTGTGAGATTGCTTGAAACTGGAGTGGTTATTTAATACTTTGGCTATTGATGTAAACATTTCTATACGTAGACCTGTAAACGGGTCGGGTTTATTGGGTTTGAGTCTGATTCAACCTAACCCGTTAAGTTAATGGGTCATCCGAACCCGACCCGTTAAGTTAATGGGTCACCCGTTTCATATGTTAACTATTATTATTATTATTTTGCATAGAGTTTATTTTTTATTTTTAAGACTTGACTGAAATCACTAAAACATCTTCAACTAATGGGTTGTTAACGGGTTTACCCGTTAGCGACACGATCCGTTAAGCATCCACCCAAATACTAATATTAACGGATCGGGTCGGATCCAAAATGTCAAGTCTATCTATACGTATCTAATAATATTATCCTTTGACAAAAAAAAATATAAAAAGAACATCATTAATCAATCAGCACTAGTTTAATCCAAGATAAAAAAAATTAAAAAAATTCAATCATTACTGCCCAAACGAGGCAGTGTCTGAATTTCAAGACAATCATCATCACCCATTATCTCTCGGTAGAGTCGTTTACACAGAGTAACACCAGGTCGGCTCATCGTCCTCCGCCCTCCATTGATGAAGCCCAACAGAGACGTATCCAAAGACTGAATCTTTTCAATCACGATGGACTCAAAGTTCGTGCGTTTCCTCACCCACCAATCCTTCTTCTCCGCCGTTCGATCCGGCGACCTTGCGGCGGTGACTCAGGTGGTGGAGAAGCTCGCCAAGGACGACCCCTCCTCAAAAGGGTCGCTGGTCTCTGATCTGATGGCGATGCAGAACGACGCCGGCGAGACTGCGCTGTACGTGGCCGCGGACAATAATCTGGAAGAGGTGTTTGGTTACTTGCTACAGTTCTGTGGTGTCGAGGTTGTCAAGATCAGGTCCAAGCATGATATGAACGCCTTTCATGTCGCCGCCAAGCGTGGCCACTTGGGTAAATTGATTTTTAACTCTCACTGTCCGTATAACTTTGTTCTGGGATTGAATGAATTGGTTTCTTGAAATGGGTTTTATTGAGATTATGAGTTTTTTAATTGGGGTTGATCCTTGTATGTGCTGGATGATCATAATAATTACTGATTGTTTGTGTACAAGTTCAGTAATTAGTGATAATTTCCTTCCTAAATTAAATTATTTGATGGATTAATTGGAGTCTCTGTGCTGCAACCTGAATTCTTGCTCTGCGTTATGGCATCAATACTTTCCGGCTTTATGAATGGATTGAGAATTCTTATGTAAGCGAAATTCGTACTTGTTGAACTCTTGTTAGTAAAATGATATAACTGGTGAACTTCATTTGCTAAGCTTGTAAACTCTTTTCTTAATCTGCTTTACATTGGCTGGATATGCAGAGATTTAATATATGAGAAGTTTACGACATTTTGGCCATTTGAGGTCGAGTTTGGTATTTGAAGTTTACGACTATGGCGAAAGGATTTTTATTTTTTGTATTTTACTTCGGTAATATGTTATTGACTGTTATTTTATTCAGGTATTGTGAAGGCACTATTGGGACGTTGGCCGGAGCTTTGTAAGCTGTGCGATTCTTCAAACACTAGCCCTCTTTATTCAGCTGCCGTTCAGGAGCATTTAGATGTAGTCAACGCCATCTTGGATGCCGACATCAGCTCAGTGAGGATAGTAAGGAAAAATGGTAAAACTGCATTACATACAGCTGGAAGGTATGGCTGGCTTCCTATTGCGAAAGCACTTATAGAACGAGATCCGGGAATAGTATGCATAAAGGATAAAAAGGGTCAAACTGCACTCCATATGGCTGTAAAAGGTCAGTGTACTCCAGTTGTAGAGGAGATATTGGACGCTGACAATTCTATACTGAATGAACGTGACAAAAAGGGAAATACAGCTGTGCACATAGCCACAAGGAAATGCCGTCCACAGGTATCTTCATATTGACATTCTATTTATGAAGAATGCATGAACTCATGAAGTCCTAGTCATTATGTTGAAATTGTATGTAGGATGAAAATATATCAGCTCGTAAAATCCTAGTCATTAACTATTTCTTCCTTCCGTTGGATTTATCTATTACTTTGCTTTATTTACCGGGTAACTGTAAGTCTAAATTGGGTTTAGGAGCTAGTTCTTTGTCATGGAGATTCCTCTTTCGGCATCAGGACAGTACAGTACAGCTTGTCAAGGAGTCTGTGCTTGAGTTGTGTGTGCTACAACCAAGACGGATAATATCCATGCCTTTTTGGACGTGTAGGTTAGACCTACATGTGGACTATAGAGAAGATGTGAGATGACATAGAGTTAAGATGGATAATGGGTAATTATGTGAGAATATACCAATTAAAAATAAGATATTGGGATCCTGTTTTGCTTCATTGAAACTTTTGTGATAAGTTTGTGTTTTCTTCTTTGATGAGGAACCGGGAAGCACTTGGTGGAATTTCTAAATATAGTATTACATCCTCAAAAGTGGTGAATCCAATTGCATATGTTTGTCTTTCTATGTGTATTTTCATCTTTTTTTGCTCCTCCTGTGATGATATTTTGTCCTCTTTCTTGCAGATAGTGAACTTTTTGCTGAGCTATACGGCTATTGATGTCAACGTCATTAATAATCATTACGAAACTGCAAGGGATTTGGCCGATAAATTACAGTACGGAGAATCTAAATTAGAAATTACAGAAGCACTGTCGGAAGCTGGTGCCAAGCATGCAAAACATGTCG